CTTATTATTCACTCATATTAAATGCATTTATTTAGGTACATATGCAAATAAAATCATTCTCATAATAGGATTGTAATTTCTTTAGTATCTTGTGGTGTGTAAAAAAATTTGCCGAAAAAATTGCGAAGGGTGGGTGATTAGATATGAGGAAGAGGGGTTATGTTGGGCCAACATCTTTTATATTATTTAGTTGAGAGTTCGGCTGTTTCTTATTGTGTTTATTAGGCCCGTTTTATTACTTATNTTCCTCTTGACCATTTTATTTGATGAAATGAAATACTACAATTTATGCTAAATTTACTTTAATTGACTAAGTAAAAAAAGAAGCAAGCATTTTCGTTACTAATTTAATAAATACAATACTATTATTTGTACTAAGATTCCATCAAGTATTATTAGTCCAATTTTCTTTGCAAGGTCCTTAACTTGTAATTTAATAAATAAAATACTATTATTTGTAATATATTTGTATTGAATTATTATGAATGTACCATATTTGTATTGAATTATTATGAATTTAATTTGCAATGATCTATATATTTTTTTCTTACTAATTTCATAAAATTTATTAATTTTTTTTTTTTATTTTATTATACTGCCTGTCATACCCATGTGCCCGTGTCCAAGTTTGGATAAGTGTCCTCATATCTTAACTTTTAGAAATATAAATACCTAATAATTAAATATGTAATCGTATTCGACACATGTATCCGAGTCTATAAAATATAATCAATTCATTGACCTCGAGCTACACCCGAATTAGTTCGTAATTAGACCGCTTAACAATGGACCCAACATCAACTCTGCTGACTCGATTTTTTAATATTTTTTGTGTTTAATTAACTATATTAAAATTTTGAGACCGCTCCTTAAAATGAGTACGTAAGACTCAATCATGACTGTTACTTTTGTCTAGATCAAAGGCTCATATTAATACACATTAATTATATAATAAATATTATTATTATATTAAAATTATTATTATATTAAAATTAATATTATATTAAAATTAATTATATAATCTGTCCGACGACACGCATCCCGACGGTTCCAGCTCCGTCCGACAACTCTCAGCCCGGCGATTCCTACCCCAGCCTCCGTCAGGCGACCTTCTTCCCGGCGATTCCAGCCACAACCTCCGTTCGGCAGCGTCTTCATCTAGCTGCAGTTCCACCTCCATCGGACATACGACAGAAGCTCGACGTCAACCAGCCGGGGCCACTTCACGTCCGACAGAAGCTCATCGACAAAAGCTCGTCGACCGGGGATGGCGACGTCAAATCGCGGTTCCTCTCGACCTGGGATGGCGACAGATGTTGCATAGGAGCACGGCCAAGTAGGGACAGTGGTGTTGCTGGGAGCTGCTGGGGCCAAGCGGGGAAGGCAATCGGAATCTGATTTTGTGGGAGAAGGAAATCCGGATCTTATTTTGTGAATTAGGGTTGGGCATTTTTTTAGTTCATAACAAGTGCATATTTAGTTATAGATATTGTATATTGAATTCGTATTTATTTCATATAACACTTCATATTTGTTATGGTAACGCAAAACACTCCGACCGGCTTGAAATCAGTTTGCCTTCCTCCTCCTCGCCGGTAGAACGTCGCGCACCTGCACAGAACTCTCACACCGGAGGGTTTTCCGGTGAAGAGCCTCCGATGCTTAAGTCAGTATGTGTTTTCTCAATTTTTCAAAGTAAAGAATGGATAAATCGTAGGCTACAAGAAAAGACTCACTCCCATATATATAGGAGTGAGATACCTGCCCTAGGAACTGCCCGGCTTTTGGTGAGCTGTCCTGCCCGTCCGTACACACATAGTGTGCGTGTGTCAGAGATGTCAGAGGTGGCTTTCGCCACTATCACTCTGCACCAATATATTCTCACCACGTGTCCCTCTGAGCTGAGGGAGATTATTCTTCTGCGCAGGCCGTTGGGATCTTCTAACGCCATCCACGCGCCTTCACGTGTTCAAGCCACGCTCTAGACTACTCTTCACCTGTTGAGTGCTCGATCTCCTCTTTTTTGGTCGATCCTCGACTAGTTCTGCTATTCTGCTCGATCTCCTTCCTTTTGGTCGATCATCCTTCTACCAATCCGGCTTTCTCCACTTTGAGGTTGCTCGATCGATGATGCAAACCGGTCTATTCCTCAGCTATATAATATCACATATCATGTTATATATAAATTAAACATACACATGATGCATAATTAGTTCATTCATGATGCATATTTAGTTTATACAAAATGCATATTTAGTTCATAAACATTGCATATTTAATTCATATGAGATCCAATCATAGTTATTTATTTGGGTAGATCAATGACTTATATTAATCAATTGAAATTTAAATTAGTTATATAATAAAAAATAATAAATATCATATTTAAATTAATTATATAAAATGCACATTTTATTGCATATATTCGATGCATATTAGTTCATTCATGATGCATATTTAGTTCATAACATGTTCATATTTAGTTAATAAACAGTACATACTTAATTGATATTATTGGTGCATATTTAGTTCATAAGGATTGCATATGCAATTCATATCCATGCATATTTAGTTCATAGTAAGTACATAGTGGTAAATTCAGATTTTCTTCATACATGATGCATACTAAGGTCAACAGGTCAACGTCGAAAGTCAACGGTCAATGTCGGAGTCAACGGTAAGTGGTTAAAATAATATTTAAATAATTAAAATAATAAAAATAAATCATTAAATAATAATAATAAAAAATTATTATGTAAATCAATAGTTAAATCTTGGCCACACATTCTAGCCATCAAATCTAATAACCAAACGGACAAAAAAAAAGTTTTAAAATTACACTCATTAAGGGTAATTTGGACATTCCCCAGTACCCAACCACCCACTTACTCGTGCCCCACCCCACCCACCCAGCCTCCACTCTGTCTCACGCGCACACACACATAACACCACCGTTGTTGCCATTGTCGCTCCGGCCGGAAGCTCCCTCAATATCCAGTCCACAACTAGGGCTGCTCATTTGGTCGAAACCGAACCGAACCGACTGAATTTTCGGTTTAAAAAATTCGGTTTATCCATTATATAAGAACTAAAAACCGAACTGAAATTTATGGATCAGTTCGATTTTTAACCGAAAATCCAACGGTTGGTTCGATTATCGTTTAATCGTAATAAATAATTAATCTTCTTAAGAAATTTCAAAATTTTAACTGAACTGTAAATTTGATTTCTTATTTGCATCATGTTTAATCTTCTCAATAAATTCCAATTTCTTTTCTATGAAAGATCTCTGACCCAAACCATGACTTGGACTATGACGAAACCAATTTTGAGCGCAAATTAATGCTTAAGCCATTTTAGGGATCATTGAAGCTCAAAAACATCAATCATTGAAGCAAATTGATGCTTTTATAACTTATATGTGTGTGTGTATGTGTGTGTATATATATATATGAATTAGAGTTCTGTTCAATTCGGTTAATCGATCACTATTATCCAAACAGAACTGAAAACTAAAATTTTAAGAACATGTGAATCAAAAACAGAACCAAATAATCAGTTTCAGTTTTGGTCCAAACTTAATTTTTGGTTTCGATAGGCTCGTCTCGGTTAACTAAATTTTGTGCACCCCTTCCACCACGGCCCATAATTCTCTCTGATGTTTCGTCGAGTTCTGAAGATCGTCTCCCGACGAGATTTGAGATCAGTTTTAGCACGCCGCCTCGGAGGACTGTCTCCTCCGTCGCCTGCCGACGCGCCAATTTCGCCAACGGCGCCGCACACCGGGTTCACCATCCTCCCCGCGGCTTCGTACAACAGCGAGTGGAAGAGAGCTGCGCGCATGAGGGTGTTTTTTTGTCAATTCACGCTTTTTCGATTATTAGAGATCTTTCGCTCGCATAGTTCATCACATAATCAGTTTCGCAATTTGTCAATTTCGACTGTTTGTCGCATAGCACATCGCATAATTTCTTTCACACTTTGTAGAGTGAAAAAGTTAACTTATTAACTGACAGTATGTAACTTATTCATACTTCATAGTGAGGTGAAAATATTTCCTCTTAAAAATATATATGTATGAACTGATAGGGAAATTTCGATCTCAGCCTCGGACTTCATCATCACACGTTGTATACCCAAATCTCAATTAATACTCAAAATCTAACTTAATTTTAACTAAACTTCACTATTCTCAATATTATTTATATAATTAAATAACATCAACCAATCATTCTTACACATCACATCAAATTTAATTTACTATTTATCTACTCACATAACTTTAACTAACTATCATTTCAAATCATCTCTCAATTACTTAACTTTAATTATTTTATTTTAAATATTATTTTAATATAAAATCAAAATCTAAATAACAATTATTCATACAATTTTTTTGAATACTAACTCTAGTTACCCAAAAAAATTGATTGAAGTGGATGTATGCCCAAAGTACACGAATGAGTTTGGTTACGGGCGATCGTGTTTGATCGTGTGGTGTTAAAACTCGTCAAACTTTTCCTATTTGATCGTGTGGTGTTAAAACTCGTGAAACTTTCTCGATAGTAGTTATCGTGGCAAGTTGTAACCAAACGACTATTGAAAGGGAGACGTAGGATTAGTTCATAGACTAAAAAAAAAGTTTTTTTATTTTTCTTAAAATAAAAAAGGTTGTTGCGAACTGCAAACAAATGTATTGGTATTTGCAATTCGACCCCACCACCTTTACTTGGTATTTGCAATTCGCCCCAACGCAATTCGGCCCCACCACCTTTACTTGGTATTTGCAATTCGCCCCACCACCTTTACTTTCTTTTCTCCGTAGACCACATAATTGTTGCCCATAACACGTTAAATATTATCTATAATATTATTAATTTACAGGCCAACCAATCAACACCAGCATTTCATTTGAAAAATAATAATTACTAAAATAGTAATTTCGCAAAGGACAAGAATTTTTCCACTCCCAATTTTATGAGATAATTTAATTAACTCAAATGACAACAATACCCCTACACCATCTATTTTACAACAAAGCAAACCACACACCACTCCGGCGCCGGCCGGCCGGCGAAACACCACCCCCATCAGAATCCACCCGGTTCGAAACTACCCGAACCGGCGGTCTTTCTTTTCCTCCTTTCACACCTTGAGAAGCTTCGCGGCCCGGACAACCGGATTTTCCCTGGCGATCGCCTCCCTGCCGGCCGCCTTATAGTCGTAGCCGCAGTCGTGCCGATCCGAGTACCTGTGCTCCGAACAGAACACGTCGCCGCACCTGCACCGAAAACCCATCAGCCCGACCCTCTTCCTGCAGCCCGAACCGGAGCAACGGTTCGCCTCCCTCGGTCTCTTCAGATTCACCGTGGGCTTGGCCAGATCTGGCGAGCCGGCGGAGCTGGATCCTGGATTGGAAGCCGGTGGCTTCGGATCCGACGCCTCCGGCGGAGATCGGGCGGCGGGAGGCTGGGTGGCGTGGATCGGCGGCGGCGGGGCGCAGATGGATATGTTTTCGGGGACTTTGAGCTCGGTTTCTTCCTTCTCCATGTTCTGGGCGGCCATGGCTTCAGGTTTCTCTTTCTTTTTTTCTTTTTTTATTTAATTTTGATTGATTTTTTTGGGTTTGGCGATTGGTGGAGAGAAGAAATTTAGAGGCGTTTGGGATGTGCGAAAAGACGGAATGGAAAACGAGTGGATTTTATTTGAGGGGGTTTGAAGTAGGAAATGGGGAATCTATGGGTCAGATTTAAGATTTGGGATAAAATATGGGGCAACTTTTTAATTAATTAAACTAGTCTTAGAAATTTGTGTGGCGATGATGATACGCGTATGGGCAATTGGGCATCAGGAGTTTTGTTTATTGAACACTGAAATGGCAGTTTTACCCTATCGATTGATTGTTACCCCTGAAGTTTTGGTTTTGTGGTGGCAAGTTGGATAAAGAATTGTTTGGTGACGTTTTATTGCAGATAAATATAGCCCATTTCATTATAACATTTGTTTATGCTAACGTGTTGATATAAAGATTGACATAATAATATATAAATGTAAGGTCATATAATTTTACATATCATATTAACTTTAAAATGAACAATTTTTATATTTATATATCATATTTGTATGTAAGGAGCATTATTAATATCAAATCAAACTATTGATAACTTTTATCCGTGACATTCTAATCCGACTCACTCACGTAATAAAAAGTTCTATTTTAAGTTTAATCATAAAAATATTTGTGATTAAGGTAAAAGTATTATTTTGATTAACTAATACTATCAAATATTAAGTAGTTATTAATGAGTTTTTTAAGAGTCGAACTCACCCTTAAAAGGCAAGCCTGATTGTTACTTTAGTAAAATTTTATCTGTAAATCATAATCATAATAATTGATAATAGGAGAAACTGTTTACTGGGCTTATAAAAAATTAATAACTCAAAAATAATATTAACTGTTGTGAACTACATATTCACCGTTTACATCTATTTGTTTCGTGTCACGTTAGTAGGTGACTTATGCTTTTATATGCAAAAATGAATTATATGAATTTGTAAGAATAATAATGATTTTATGTTCAATAAACTATATGAATTGCATTTATTTTATTTAAAGAATGTAGCAGTATCTCTCTCATAAGTCGGTGGTCCCATTCAATTGTGAATTGTTAACTTAAAGTTTGGCGTCGTGTTCAATGTGTTTTAGATCAACCTTTGCATAAAATATTAGGCGTCCGTTAGTGGTAACTTCAGACGCCAATTTTGAATTCCTTGATACGATTATTTGCATTAATGGAGTTACCGTAAAAATGCAAGTTGGTAAATGGAGTTGCTATGCAGCCGTGCTGGCATGACAACCAACACCAACAAGACGTAATAATACGAGGGACATCTTTATTATATATATTTTTTCTTTTATACATTGTTCCATAAAAAAAATTATTTTCACCCCCACAAGACATGAAATGTTGTGCGATGTTATAGTCGCATATATAATTGAAACGCATAATTAACAATTATGCGAGATTTTGTCGCATATTTACCAATGCATATTCAATCGAACGCATAGTTGATAATTATGCGAAACAATTTCGCAAATCCAAATTCACCGGATAAGTTATATATGTAAAATGATTTTGCATATCCAATTATCGCGTATCCAGATCGGTCGTCGCATATTTAATGATTATGTGACGTGTTTTCGCATTGTTTACGACTCGCATATCCAAATCTATACAACAACAACAACAACAATAAAAACAAGCCGTTAAAATTCCACTAAGCGGGGTCGGCTATATGGATCGCATGTCGTAATCTTGCTCGATCGCAACACATATCTAAATCTATAACATCGTATAATTAAGATCATGCGTAATATGTTCGCATATTCACGAGTCGCCTATCCAAATCAAAAGCCGCATAATTTGGACTATCCGCTATTTTTACGCAGATCCATATCATGAGTCGCATATCCGCCGAAACTGTTTTGCATATTATTTGAATAATTTATGCACTGGTTTGATTGTCTGATATTTCACCTAAATAACTTAGACAAATGGCATGTACTTATTTATTATGAGTTGATGCATATCTACCACTATTATTACCACTCATTAATTGTAAACTTTAAATGTTATATCTGTAATTAACTTTTCACTTCTTGAAACTAAACACACAAAAAAAAAAAAAAAAAAAAAAAAAAAAAAAAAAAAAAAAATCTAGCAAAGTAAATACTTATCTTTCGATCGCAGCAAAAACAAACAAAAAAAAAACTAGACACATTTGCGAGAAAATGGATAGGATTTCATGCAATAAGAAGATCGCGATCCGCTTTATGGCGTGGAGTGGACCAAGGGTGAGGAAGATGTTTGCCACCGAGTGTTTTTCAAGAAGTTCCGTCATAAGGCAAGCATACACCGAGACCTTGTGTTCAATTCCTTGTGGCAAAAAAATGCACGTTCACTGAACCGAATGTTGAGTCATGCATTGAAGAAGGAGTATTCTATTGCCCAAGTTTGAGGAAAGATTCAGCGGCTCGAAAATCCTTTCGATGAATTTTCATGTTTCCTAATGATTCCAGGCGGCCTGGTGCTTGGATTGACGACCCAATCTGCGGGGAAAACATAGATGATTATGGCACTGAAGATGATGGTGATGATTAGATCCATCTACCATCACCACAGGCGGAAGTCGTCGATGCCGACCTTGAGAATCCACCAAAATAAATAGGATAACCACATGTAATCAACTTACGTTGTTTGGCTTATTTTGTTTGAATTAGTTTTTTCTTCTTCTGTCAAGTCTATGTTTAATTATGATTCATGTGTTAAACAATTCTTAAATGGATAATGAACCATTAATGTCCAGCAACATAGATTTCCCAACAAAATTATCAACAATGTTCGACAAAAAAAAAAATGAAAGGAATTCGCAGAAATGCGAAACAAATGCAATAAATCACATAATGTTTGCATAACGTAATTAAAAAAAATATATAAAAGTAAACAATACCACAGGATTGCGAACAATGTGCGGGTATAACGGACTAAAAAAAATCAACATAATTAAACGCCATCATGCAATCACATATCCAGATCAACTGCATATTTTACGGTATGTGAAAAACTTTCACATGTATAATTATCGCATATCCAAATCAAAAGTTGCATAATTACTATTATGCGACATATTTTCACATAGTTTACGACTCGAAATCCAAATCTATAACACCAGATAATTTACAACTATGCGCACTTTTTCGCATATTCACTACTCGCATATCTAGAACAAACGCCAAATAATTTAGGACTATTTGTCATATTTTCTCATATCCATATCAACCTCGCATAATTTACCAATATGCGAACATATTTCGCATACGATTCGTTAATTACGCACTGCATTAATTGGCTGCTTTTTTCACATAAAATTTGACATACAAGATGTGCATATTTTTGTTAGGAATCTTATGGGTCGTCACTTCATTTTTTCCAGCCTGCATTTATTCTTCTTCTTCTTCCTTTCTGCATTTACTGCAATTTAATTATTTTTTTCTTTTTGTTTTAATTACACTGCATCCTTTTTTGTCAAGCTTTTTAAGGCCCCATATCTTTCCCTTCTTTTTTATTTATACTGCATTCTTTTCGTTCAAGCTTTTTAAGGCCCCATATCTACTGTATTTGTTTTTCGCTTTAATTCATTTTGTTGAACTTATTTGTCTCTTAATTTTATTTTATTCTTAAATTATACTTCCATGGTTAGCAACCGTGTTAGAATATGCGTGCACGACAGTACGTTTTGCGTGGGTTCATATATTGGTGGGGTGGCATAACTGATGAGAATAAATTATGACCAAACAAATGTATTCTAAAGTGGTTTCTCGAGCTCAAGCATTATTAAAGGTCGATCCTTGTAACTTTGAGTATATATTAATTGTAGGCAGTATTTGCGAGTTATGGATATGAATATCAAATCCAATGATGAAATTGTAGAGTTGTTTGAAGAAAAAACTAGTCCCAACATTCACGTAGAAATGATGGTGTCGATCCATGGTGTATTTTTTAATTGTTTTGGTGTTGGTAGTTCTGCATTTTCCCACGAGCTCTTTTCCAGTGAAGGTTAAAGCGCACCAGCTCCATATCCACAAACAACATTGAGATGCCTGAGGAGGTATCGAGCATGTAAACAAACAAGTCACAATTTGTCGTCTTGTAATTAGATTGTAAGATCTTTTTTCTCAAGATAAGTAATTAGGGTTTTAAGTTATATAATGTAAGATCTTTATCTCATGAAATAGGATTTTCATATAGTTTTGAAGTTCAACATCATATGTGCGAGCAATTATTCAGATTACCCGCACCATCAAGCATGGTTTTTCGGTTCTTGAAACTTGCTTTAGCAAATCAAAATTGCACTTCATGTATACTTGTTGGCGCATTCAAATAGTACGGAAGATATGTGTGAGCATGCAATTTGATAATTTACATCGGATAACTATCTTATCTTATAATATATATATATACACATCTACATCTACATCTACATCGTCATCTACATCTACATCTACATCTATATAATGGACCAATCCATATTAGGCAAAATTGGCATGACTTTAGGCGGGTAAAAAAATTTCGTCTATATTTGGCATTTAATTAATCTTTATTTATTGACAAATTTTATATAAAAAAGATTAATTATTTTTTGTGTATTCAATGGTTAGTATTCATAATTTATAAATTGACTCAGTTACAATTATTTTGACCGTAATTTGATTAGATATATTTTTAATAAGATCTTAATATTAGTTTCAGAGTAATTTATTGACAAAATTACAAAAATATTATAAAAATTGATTAGATTAAATATATTATCATCTATGGTTGTAGGTCTTAATTTAATTAATTTATCCAATTAGAAGTACTTATAATATAAGTTTCAGAGTAATTTATTGACAAAATTACAAAAATATTATAAAAATTGATTAGATTAAATATATTATCATCTATGGTTGTAGGTCTTAATTTAAGTAATTTATCCAATTAGAAGTACTTATAATATACAATTAAATAATCAACATATGTGTTTGAATCATATTAACTTAATGAATAATTTAAATAGTTAATAAAATTTAGTCAACTTAACCATTAAAAGGTAAAGCTCCACTGAATATATCATTTATAATGATGATACTATTGAACAATAAAATACATAATATACTAATAAAATTAATATTTGATGGTCAGGTATAATTCAAAATTCTAAATTTCACCTTAGAATTATCTATGTACAATAAAAAACTATTCAAGTTTTACAAAATATAGTTTTTATTATATACTATTTTGTAAATGGAAATAACTCAATAAGTAAACAAAATATTCAAGTATCATAATTTAAATTATAGCACTTGGTAATCATAGAAATATATAATATATTAATTTATCTATATATTCAAATTGATACTAGTTAACTCATTATATATGTTGAAAAATAAATTAAAAAAAATATAAAATAAAAATTAAATATTTAACCATGAAAATATTGTGTTGCAAAAGGATTAAAGTTAATAAATTAAAATTTAATTATCAAACATTTTAACGTTTCATGCACTTAGAATTTTAATAAAGGAAGATAAATATTATGAGTTAAACATTGGTCAATTATCGAGCAATGTGCAAATTATGAATGGTTAAAAAGATTATTAGACTAAAATAATCGACAATTTTGTAAGTATATATAAGTAACTTGTAAGCAAATGTACATTTATAATATTTTATAAACTTATAAATAATAATTTTATATACTAGATAGTTAAGACATACAAAAGGAAATAAATAATAATAGTAAATAAATAATTTTCATATTATAACCGAATCGAATGTGTTGAATAGAACTGCATATTGTCTCAAATAATTTAATAATATTCTCAAGTGTAACCACCGAATGAAATCTCGAATCTCAAGAACACCATGTCCATCAATTAGCTTTGTAACATTCTTCGAAGTAGTTGGCATGATTTTTCTGAAATTTTACTATATATATTATATAAATAAAGTGTAAAATTGTACACGAAATAATTGAAGTAAATTAAATAATATGTAAATATGATATAAAATAACTTGTTACAATTGAATGGATATTAAACAATAAATTAAGTTTGAAAGAAATGAAAAATATTTATATGTTTTAATGTATTGAACAAAATACCGGCCCAAGGCTTAGTTATGCAAAGATGTATAATTAGCACCGACGGTTGACGATCATTCCCATATTCATTTTGAATGTTAAAAAGCAGATAAACGTAATTACCCCAAAGTGTGCAATCGACCACTTTCCTCCTAATATTTATTTTATTAAATGGTCCACTCGATTTTAAGAAAACAACCATTAAAGTTAAATAATAAAAGTTCTTACTCTAAATCCATAACATAAAACACAATCATTTTTGTTAGGACGTTATCAACATCTTTCATTTGCATGGCTCCAATTTCAACCACAAGACCAATTACATCCGTAGAAAAAAATGATGAAATCATAATTTATTTGATCATATCGTTAAAGTTAATAATTTTATATATAATGAACCATACCATCATATCGTAAAAGTTAATAATTTTTTTTTACGTATTCAGTTATTCATATTTAATTTATTAAACTAATCATCTTTTGAAAATCTCCATTTGAAATCCATATCACGTATAATCATGTTTGGAAAGAATTTTTAGAAAAATCAAATTAGTGGAGTTATAATCTATACATATATAATTACTAGCTAATAACATTTAATAAAACCTATTTAATTTTACCTATGTGGCAATTTAACAATTTTCCCTCCAAAAACCGTTACATTTTGATGTATTTAATCTTTCATTTAATCATTAAATAATTAATACTCATCACTTCAAAATTACAAAAATCATTTTAAACTTTTGATTAATGACAGTTGACCATATAATGTGTTGACCGTATAATGTAATTAGATATTATTATTGTTGTTACATTTAATTTTTTTTCAAATAAAAAATATATTTGAAATTCCTAAATAAATAATAAATAATTCACAAATAAAAGACGTACCAAAATATACATTACATCCAATCAGATAAACGCAATTTAAAAAAAAAATATTACAACTCTTTTAATTGTAAATTTGGTCTGCAAAAAAGTGAAAGAAAAATAATTAATCATTATATGCATACAGACTCACAATAATTTATTTTTATCTGTGCAAATGTACAGGTCGAATACTAGTAATATTTATATTAGACATTTATAATTTTATAATTGTAATTAAAGTTATTATCATTCTTAAAAATTTGAGGGTAAAATATGTTGTTTTAAATAGTTTTCACTCTATTAATTAGTCACTATTAGTTCTACATTTATATTATAATATTATAACTAGTGCGTGCCCCGTGCGATGCATGGGAAAATAATATTTTAATTGTATTATAAATTAAATAAATAAATAACATTAATCATGATTTACCTATTATTTTTAAACTAAATTGGGTTGGACACAGTCCGACCGGATGGACCGAGAACCGGTTTATAACCAGTCTAGTGCGCTTGAATAAAATATTTGCTGTCGAATTCGTCAACACCAGTCTGTTGGACTGATAGGATCGATAGGATTTTCTAAACAAATTTTGTTACATTAAAAATTATTTTAAATAAAATTACATATTTAAATAAAATAGAGATTTATAAATTGTTTATCAATTAGTTTAAACATTTGAATTTATAAATTGTTTAGATATTTAAGTAACAATTTTTATTTAAATTTACTACAAAAAGTACTATATATATATACACTAAAGTATAATGTATTAAAATATGAACAACCACAAATGATTTAATAAAATAACTTGATCGTTTCGATGACGGTCCGGTTCTGGAAACCTTATATTTAACGTACATTAATATAAATTATAATAAAATAATTATTTCGTTCACATAAATAATAATAAAATTATATATAAATATTCATAAATCATTAATGATGTATGATTATTTGAGGTTTGGACTACATCACATTCACGTAATAAAGTATTATTAATATTAAAATTTATATTTAGGTTCAATAATCGATTTGGTCTGGTCAAACTGATACATAACTTAGTTACCTGGGACCAACCAAGTTGTGTCAAGTTTTTTTACTATTTTAAATATCACTTAAAAGTAATTCAATCAACATGGGCAGTACCCTAATTCAATCACCCGATTGATCCAAGTAATTTCCTTATTTTCTTTAAATATAATATTTAATTTTATGATATTAAAAAATTTTATGATTCATATGTCTACACCAAATGATAGTATATTAAGATTATAAATTATATATCTAAAGATGAATTATTTATTTTTATTTTATGCATATTAATAAAAAATAAACATAGTAATTTAAAAAAAATCAAGATTAATTGATTGGGTATGCAATTTAAAAAATATTTTTAGCGTTCAATATATATATATATATACACATATATATATATTTTTAACATGATTGAATTTTTGGATTAGAATATATATATTTAAAATAATTTTATTATTAAAAATCAAAAAGAAAAGATGTCATAAAGATTACAACTTTGAAAAGTTTGTAACCATTAATTTAGGAACCATCCGATTTTAAATGATTTATAATTTTTGAAACATGATACGTACTTTGAAAAGTTTGTAACCATTAATTTAGAAACCATCCGATTTTAAATGATTTATTATTTTTGAAACATGATAACGTGCATTTAAAACCCATTAATATAGGAACCATCCAATTTTTTGATAATGAATTAAAATTAAAATGTAAAATAAAAAATTTTGCTGAAAATAGTATATAATAAATGTGGATTGACTTTTTCTTACTACTATTTATGGTAAATATTAATTCTTATTATATATATATATATATATAGATATAGATAAAAATATAAATACCTTTTTTATTATATAAATATTTCTTTGAACACTCGTATAATCCACGAGCATGCTAGTATGACTAATATCGATCCAAGGCATTGTGTGGGACACAAGACGTGATATTTTCACAAATTCCATTTACCGACTGAAATAATGGCGAGCCCAACTCCTCACTTCTGACCTAGCCGCCTTTGATCCGCCGCCTCCAGCTGTTTCCGCCACCGCCTCCTCACCGTGTAAGGTAATAGGATAATCTGAGCCTCTATTCTTAAAAAAAAAAATCTCATGATTATCGGTGATAGGTAACGTTTCTCACAGCTGCAACTGCTTTTAAGCTTATGAAAAAAATTCTTTGTTACATTTAAATTGATTTTTACGATTCGAGACAAAATGCCCTTAGATTCATGTTTTTCTAATCAACCCTAGATACCTGCGTTAAGATTTTCAGAAATCTTGAGATTTCCAGAGATCATTGGTAAGTATGATTGAAAAAGGGTCGATCGAAATGCATATTTATTGTGTCTGAATTTTCCAAATGCGGCAATTACAAATGCAAGATCGGCCTTTTTTTCTTTTTATTTTTCTATTTTATTTTTTTCAGAAAATTAGTGATGCAAGTGAAGGATTACAGAGGTACCTAGATTTGGTGAACAGGTGTGGCTTCCTCTTTTAGTTGAACAAGAATGAGTTCAAGCTGAAACATTTTCATTCTTCTCTTTTTCCTCTTCTTTCCCTTTTCATGTTATGAATGTGTTGCTTTGTTTTGAAGAATTAGGTTATATTGGTTCAATCCGTGTACATTTGAAATAAAATTATACACATCCTAAATTCCTAATCACCCATAACACAAAACATGGCTAGTGCCTTCCCTGCAACTATCGTCTCCACGAGCTTAAAATAACCCAAACATGCATTTCTATGAGCCAACCAACCAGAAACTAACTCTGGATTAAGTTTTACATTTAGTTTGGTTACATCAATCCATTTCTTTTCCCTTGACCGATTTCTTTTGGTTATCCCATCTTTTCTACTTTCTTGGTTGTCCATTATCTTCACTTGTTTATGATTTAGCTTGGTATTTCCATGTTTATCCTTCTCTTTTTCCTCTTCTTTCCCTTTTCATGTTATGAACGTTGTTGCTTTGTTTTGAAGAATTAGGTTATATTGGTTCAATCCGTGTACATTTGGATTAAAATTATACACATCCTAATCACCCATAACACAAAATATGGCTAGTGTTTGCATCACATCCTGTCTTTGTTAGTACCTTCCCTGCAATTGTTGTCTCCATGATCTTAAAAAATAACCCAAACATGCATTTCTATGAGCCAACCAAACCAGAAACTAACTCTGGATTAACTTTTACATTTAGTTTGGTTACATCAAGCCATTTCTTTTACCTTGATCAGTTTCTTTTGGTTATCCCATCTTTTCTATTCTCTTGGTTGTTCATTATCTTCACTTGTTTATGATTTAGCTTGGTATTTCCATGTTTATCCTTCTCTTTTTCCTCTTCTTTCTCTTTTCATGTTACACATCCTAATCACCCATAACACAAAATATGGCTAGTGTTTGCATCACATCCTGTCTTTGTTAGTACCTTCCCTGCAATTGTTGTCTCTATGATCTTAAAAAATAACCCAAACATGCATTTCTATGAGCCAACCAAACCCCAAACTAACTCTGGATTAACTTTTACATTTAGTTTGGTTACATCAAGCCATTTCTTTTACCTTGACCGATTTCTTTTGGTTATCCCATCTATTCTATTCTCTTGGTTGTCCATTATCTTCACTTCTTTATAATTTAGCTTGGTATTTCCATATGATGTGAACATGTGATCTCAAACTTCATTTTGATTACCAGCACAAATCACCCGGCGAAAAAGGAAAAAAAAAAAAAAAAAGATGGTTCGAGCTTACTCTCAAGAATACACCTACAAACACCCATGGGATCGAGTAACCTCCGCCTCCTGGCGCAAATTTTCCGACCCAGAGAACAAGCGTACTCTCTCCCACATCCTCGAAGTCGACACCTTAAACCACAGGCTTGAGCCGAGTTCCGGAAAACTTTACACAACTCGTGCCATCACAATCCATGCCCCGGGCCCATGGTTTGTCCGCAAGATCATTGGCCAGGAGATGTGCCACTGTGTCGAGTCCACAGTGGTCGATGCCAAATTGCAGTCCATGCAGCTCGCCACACGCAATATCAGCCTCCAGAAATTCATTGAGGTTGAGGAGAAGATTAGGTACGACCCGCACCCGGATAACCCGAGAGAATGGACACTGTGCAGACAGGAAACGAGCATAAGGATCAAGCCTCTCTCGGCACTTGCTTCCATGGCTGAGAAGATTGAACAGAAATGTGTCGAGAAGTTTCAGCATAACAGCGTCAAGGGGAGGGAGGTTATGGAGAGAATGTGCAAGTACCTCGAAGCTGAATCTAGGGGAATTTCTGTCTGAAATTTCTCTTCGTTTTTTTTTTTTTCTTTTTGTGTTCTTTTATTGGGAAGAACTTGTGAATTTTGCAGGTATGTATGAGTATAGAGCTTTGAGTAACTTTTCTGACAGAATAGATGAACGAAGAGGGTCGCAGTCGTATGAATCCTGTCTTAACTTTAATGTATGGTTGTAATAATGTGGATATTGGTGCTTGGATGTGGTAATAGGACATCCAAAGTTCATGATGCTATCACCAATATATTTATGCTTCTTTTTGCATGTTGAGGCTACTAGCTATGGAATGTTGATGTTTATTTTACCATTTCTTGAATTTGGGTTTGCCAAACAGCTTGTCTTTCCTTGGAGTTTGATGATTAAACACTGATTGCTTTGGGGCTAAGACTGTTCCATACATTACAATTATGCTTATTGCCCAACTTGGTAAAACTATCCTTCGAAGTATTTCGTAGAATGTTAGTTTTCTTTTTCTCAATTGGGAAGCTTGGGAACAGGCAAAGGCAATGAATCCCAAAGAAACATTAGACTTATGTTATGAATCTACTGCAACACCCTTACAAATATTGATTGGACACAAACTATCTCCAGTTCAATGTCATGAATCCACTCATTCAATAAATCATACATTGTTTTTCAATAATTAGCCATGAATCCACTTATATTGTTTTTCGATAATAACCATTTGCAAATAATAAATCCAATCAATACATGAAAACAAGCAATCTGTAGTAGTAACTGTGGCAAAATTACACATAATTTGCTAGTACTCAAAAGATCGAGCACATCAATTTCTCACCGCACCTTCCTTGTAAACTCAAAAGCATATTGTATAGTATAGCATTCAGCAAAAACCTAAACTCAAATTGCATAACATAAGACATAAACTCACTCCTTTTCAACTAAAGACTCTTAAGTCTTAACTAGCTAACAGAATCTCAACATTTGTGGTACACACCAACATCACATACTTCCAAGTCCACATCAGCTTTTCGGCGGATAAATTTCCCATAACGCCACTGTAGCGTCTTCCGAAGACGACGCCATAAGTTTACAATCATCCGAAAACGAAACAGCATTGCACGTCCTGTGATGATACTTCAACACAGCCAGAGCATTTCCTCTGCGGTAATCGTACACCCTTAACCTGTGGTCCCACCCAGCTGTCGCAAAAATCTTACCATCGGCCCGAATTGAAGTCCCCGCTAAACCAGGCCTCTCCAAAACAATCTCTTTCTTCACCAAACACAACCCAGCACAAGGATCAATCGTAAATATCACAATCTTATCATCAGCAGAACCCGAAACTCCACCACGGCAAGAACTATCGACACAAAGGCTCATAATGGGCTCAGTATGGAACTTCACGAATGTCAAAGCCCGGCCCGTATTCCTCACATCCCACAAAGCCATGGATCCATCCTCATAGCCCGACACAATATTCGCATTATTATTACCCAGCGGCGAAAAAGCCTGAACAGCCATGCACATACCTGAGTTCTTGATTTGAGGCAATTTCATGAGCCTTTCGGCATTATCGACATCCCAAATCTCGACCACGGACAAATCTTCCCCGGCTAGGGCAACGTAATTATTGCTCGTTCGATCTTCTGAACCTGAAACCTCGCTTTCTCGTTGGTTCTCGGACGAGAGCTGGATTTTCGCGTGGGGCCCGTTTAAAAGCGAGAGCTTGCAAAAGTGGTACGAGTTGGTTTTGATGGTGGTGAGAGGGTTTCTTGACAAGCCGCTTTCTCCAATGTCCCAGCACTTGATAGTCCCATCCCTTCCCTGCGTAATTACCTTTTTGTCCCCAGCAGCAGCAACGCTGATTATGCCGTGAGCCGCGCTGTGAACCCACGACGACGAAACCGTGCGGTGCTGTAAGGTGTCCCAAATCCGGAGTTCGCCGTCGGCCGAGCCGGTGAATAAGATGTTCCTTAGGGGATGGAAGCAGACATCGGTGACTGAAGCGCGGTGGCCTCTGAGGACCGCCACCGGATCTGGGGGAGGTCGCTTGCTCATTTTGATTTTTCAGCTTTTATTCCGTTTTCTTGAATTTTGATGGTCACTGGGACAATATATCAAACAGTTGATGTGCAGTGCATCAAACTCGTCCGGATTACCGTTAAATGGCTTTGGGTTCTTCACATATGAAAATCAGAGCGCCGTCGGGTTGAGGAATTGAATACAGTGATGGGAATTTGAGTTGGGATTTTTTGAAATTTTGGGGACATTTGGGGTGTGTTGGTAAAAGAAATAATTTGAGGGAATTAATTCAAAGTGAGTTTTTTTAATTAATTAAGGTTAATTTAAAAAAGTGGTATATTAATTGTCAGTAGGATTTTGAGTTTATATTTAAAATAAAATAATTGTTTGATATAAAAGTAGGAGATAGATAATATGAAGTGATGGTTAGTTAAAATTATGTGAGTGGATGAATAGTGAATTAAAGTTGATATGATTGTAAAAATAATTGGTTGTTGTTATTTAACGGTTGATTGTTATTATTTAATTATATTGATAATATTGATGATAGTGAGGTTGAGTTAAAGTTGAGTTAGATTTGGAGTATGATGAATTAATTTGACTTGAAAATTTTCTTTTACAAACATAGCCTTGGGCGCCGTCTTCCCCAAACCAAAAAGTCGCTCTCAAATCGCCCTTCTCTCGTGGTCTTCCATTCGTCGGTTTGTGCCTCCTTTAGCAGTCGTTCGGGCTCGCCGACGGACGGCTCTTCTGTCGCGCTTCCTTCGTCGGACTGTCGTGCTCCTCTATGGGGTCTCTCGCCAAAGGGGGTCGGGCTAGGTTATCGTCAGATCCGGCTTGGCTGGGCTTGTCGATGGTAGCCGTCGCTCTGAAGTGATGGAGTTTCGGTGGGGAGCAGTGCCCTATGGCTGGGAAGTAGCTCGGTTCTTCTATTGCAGCAGTCCGTTGTCTCTGCTTTCTTGTCACTGCCGGAATGCTTCTCGTTTTCCAATCCCTCAGCGTTGCAGGGGTGTTTGGGATGGGGTTTATCCTGGTGGGGTGGGTCAGTAGGTTGTCGAGGGTTCGAGCTGTAGTGGCCAGGCTGAGGTACCATTCGTATCCCTTCCTCCTTTGCTCTCTTCCTGAGGTCGTGGGAGGCCGACCGTCTCTGAAATTGGCTAGTGGTGATAGGCAGTTTTGAGATGGTGCCGGATTAGGCTAGTGGTGTTAGCCGGTTGGGGATCGATTGTGGTTTCTTGCGGTTGGAGAGCGGGCTATTTTGTTTGGTTTGATTCGAGCCTTAGGTCCTCGTCTTTGCTAGGCGTTAGGCAGTGGCGGGCAGGGTTCCTGCGTCTCGATTCTCTCCTTGGAGTCGTCCTATGTCTGCTGCTCAATTCGGATGTTTATGCTGAGGAAGGGCTACTTTAGATTATTTTAGTTTATTTGTTGTTTTTGTTTTGTGTTGTCCATGTTGTGTTTCTGTTAGTTCTGTGTTGTCCGTGTTTTATGTCTGGGCCGTTGGCCTCAGTCTCCCCGAGTGTGACTTTATTATCCTGTTGGGACCTTACACTCGGGCATTACCCTATTGGGGTCGTTTTTAGTGTTCTTGTGTTTTTTGTGTGTGTTCCCGAGTATTACCCTGTTGGGGTCGGATGTAGACTAAGGGCTCGGTGACCCTGCCTTAGCTACTGTGTGTTTGGTCGAGTCTTTAGGCCGCCTGCGTGCGTGTCCTCTCATTTTCAGTTTAGTGGGTGAGTTGGGCGGTTGCCCTTTTGTATTCGAGCGTTTGTTCCCGTGCTTTTCGTGATATAATATCCCTATCGTTTCGGAAAAAAAATTGTGAATTAATATTTATGTAATATGTGATGATGATTGAAAATATAATATTTAATTATGTTGATAGTATTAAGGAGGGTTTTTTTTTGCAAACGATAATTATATTAATAACTTGAAAACTCATAAAAAGTACACTTGAGGTGTCAAATGACACCACTAGAGCTCGAACAAAGTCTGGACCAATCTCTCTTGAAATTACATAGACGACCAAAGAGGTACAAATACCGCAAAACAAAAGCTCCATAATGCATACTAGAAGCCTAACTCAGCTGGACTTACACAACGAACAAAAAAAAAAACCCTAAAACAACATACACCTAATACACACATAGAATAAAACATCCCCTAATAGAAGAAGGCAAACACACACATCTACCCAAACCAGCTCACGAGTCAACCCCACAGCACTGAATCCCAAGGAAGTTACAAATCTAAACCCCAAATCCAAAAATAGCGACCAAAACTCGAGTCGCCTAGATAGATTTGGCGAGGAGACAATTCTCGAACTACATCTGAGCTTCAAAGCTCTTCAACACCGTAGGGGATAAGCATACTCAAAAATTAACACTAGGGAGTCAACGCTGACGCCGCTAGAACCACTAGAGGAGCCACAACACCGCGAGCCTGGAGGGAACCACTTCGGTAGTGCAAGTCCCAACATAAGCCTCTTACCAGAAACAAGACAACGGACAATAGGACAAGAAGACTTCATCCGACCAACCCGAGGTTGGAGACGAAACGACAGAGCAGCGACTCTGTCACTGACCAAAGATGGGGAGGTGGAATTTTTCTTTCGTATTAAAATAATATTTAAAATATAATGGTTAAAGACTTAAAGTTGATTTGATGTAAAAATATGAAAAAGATTATTGAAAATGATAGATAGTGAAAATTATGTAAGTGGAATTAAAAATGAATTAAAGTTGATTTGATGTGCGAGGATGATTAATTATTGTTATTTAATTACATTGACAATATTGAGGAGTGTAGGGTTGAATTAAATTTGAGTTAGATTTAGTGGGAACAATTAAATTAAGAGAAATTGGAAAGAAAATTGAAAAATGGGAAAAAAAAATGAAAAAAAAAACTTGGAGGTGGTTTGATGTGGTGGGCCCCTATAAATCACATTTTATTGTGCGCGTGTAATACAAATATTTTGAATTCATCTTGAGTTCAACACACTTCCTTCTTTCCTCCTTTTGCTTTTTTGTTGGTCTAAAACACAACTTTGAGAATGTAAAGCTATGTTTACAATTCCACCTTCAAATCTATACACTTTAACCGAAAAATTGTAGGTTTACAGTTTCAAACCTTGCCAAATGCTACCATTAAAGTTGCTCTTAGGTAGGTTAAGTTGACCATAAAGTATATTTTTTTTTCCCAAAACGATAGATAATTTTATAAATCAAAATGCACAAATGTGCTAATACACAATAGCCAACAGCTGAAAAAGTTTGAGGACAGGTCAGAAGCCCGCCTGGAATCCCGACTAGCAACGCTACACTAAAAAACACACTCACAACTAAACTAACCAACAACACAAACAACTAGAACAACTACAAGGACCCCAACAGGGTAATACCCTAGTGTCGGACCCCAACGGAGTAATAAGTTTGACACTCGGGCTCACAGGGGTCAACGACCCAAACCAAAAACACAAAACACAAACAATCACTACTGCCAAGACAACACAAACAACAAAAAACAGACGGAACAACAAAAACACAAAACATATAACGCCCTTCCTTAGCAAAAGAATGGATCAAAACCAGTAGAGAACCAATCCAAGAAAGAACCGAGACCTATGCTCAACTTCTGAAACTGCTGCCTAACGTCTATACAGAAGCTAGACCTAGATCTCGAGACTAACCCGAATCAACCCACCTTTAACCGAGCGTACGACCAGCCAACTCCCTGCAGCAACCCCACATTAGCTCGCCTAACACCACTAGCCAAACTAAAAGGCGCCGGACCCACCCAGTCCCCAACACCAGAGAACCGGAGGGAGAGAGATGGCTAAGCCCGCTACTCCCGCACCCCGACGAGTGACGTCGCAGACGCCGGAGTCTCATTCCGCCCGCCGACCAACACGCCTCCCAACACCACCTCAGTCCGCTGATATCTCGAGCTCGAGCCCCAAAATCCATACCCAGAAGCCCAGCCTGAAATCGCCCGATGAGCCTCCGAGAGCCGACCCAATGAAATTGATGGTGAACCATCCAATCGAAGACCACTGGCGTTATCAGAGGGAGACCACCCGCCTCCGACCGAGACCCACCACCGCAGTCGCTCTTTGCCACGACCAATGGCAGAGCTCTCATTGAAGCAGCTTTTGCAGCAAAATCGAAGAGTCACGTTACCGGGGGAGGCCGAGCGGTCGTGGGTGACCACTAGCCCGAGCCGGTTCTGTGCTAGAGAAGGCTTAATCGGCGGCGAAGTGAAGATGCGAGGCTAGGTTTTTTCTACAGTAAAATGTGGAAAAGAAAGATTCGCTGATATGCAAGACGGTTAATTCAAAATCTCTTGTAGACTAGTCATTTGACATCTGCATTATAAGTTCATATTATGTGATCCTTATTAAAGGATAAAAACACATGCTAAAAGATCCATGAATACATACTTTCACTGACTATAACTATAGAAAAATGCTAAAGTCCTGTTACACCATTCTTTAAAAAAAAAACTCTAACAAAAAATTGTCACGTCAACATTTATGGACTACATATAAGGGTCCATATTAAATTAAAACATCCAATAATTAATATTTAAAGAACGAAATCATGTCGTGAGGGACTATATTCATCCCCATAACTATAAGGTTGTCAGGACAAGCAAGTAATTGGTTAGCCACCAAAATTTTCCATCTCTAGCGCTAACACCAAGTACCGCACTTAGGTAAAATGCTTTGGGTCTCTTTAAAAAAAATCACATGCCATGTAGGAAATAGATCTAGTCTATAAAAAAGTGTTTCACAATACAACTAAAAGTGGACCTAGTCTAGCTTATGTGGCAATAAAAAAAAGAGACCAAGTCCACTCTTGGGTCTATTTTGGACCCAAGTGTGAACCTTACAATAGCAATCATTTCCTATTATTATATTTTTATTGATTGTTAGGTATTCTAGACCTAGTACTTTTTTTTGTATTAGATAGATTTTGGATTTTTTAGCTTGAGTTTGTCCATGTCATTATAGACTTAAGTCTATTTATTTGCCACATATG